GCACTAGGTGCAAGGGGTTCAGCCGAGGCTGTGGTCCGTGGGGGTGCCAAGTGAGAATCCATGGAAAGTGTAATTGTTTCGGTCCCGCAGCCTCCCACCCACCTCGGAGCCCAACTGGGGGACGGCCACACTCCCCCGTAGGGTGGTGGTCCGCCAGGAGTACTGCAGGACTATACGGGGGCCGGGACGCCAAAAGCAGCAAGACGAAGCCGCCGGGTACGGGGCCGCGTGAGCCGCGGCCGCCGCAGAGCCATGCGGCGCGGGACCGGACCTGATCCCGCGCGCGGACATGGATACGGTGGCGCTAAGCCCCGCGCTGAAGGAATCAGGCGGCCCCTGCACCCGGCGGCAACCCCCCGCATACCCGTCGCCCAGCCCCCTTGACCCCGATTAGCCAGTGCTGCACAGGGCGACGCCTGACCGGCCGATTTCCCTCATGCGAGGCCAACATGGGGCATCCCGCAGATCCGGGGATTGGCGCCAAAGGCATGTGTTGGAAGGCTGCCCCGACTAACCCGCAGGGCAGCCCCCTCAACGCCCAGACATCCTCTCCCCGGTCTTTGGGCCGAAGGTACGGCTAGACCGATAAAACCAGGGGAACCAGAGAACAAAGAAGATGAGCGAGTGCAAAAAAAAAAAAACTGGGGGAAGCGTGCGAAACCGATGAGGCAAGCAGCCTGCAAGACCGGTACAGCGTAGGAAAACTGAAAACGCAATCAACGCGAGTATCCGCAAAAAAAGGCAACAGACAGGTACAAAACAACCAAGAGCAATTCACGTGAAAAGAGTGCAATGCAGCAAACTGGCAATGGAATCGTGCACAAGGAAGATAAGCAAGTGTAAAAAAACCACAACAAAAAAACTGGGGAAGCGTGCGGAACCGGTGAGGCAAGCAGCCTGCAAGACCGGTACAGCGCAAGAAGACTGAAAACGCAGCCAATGCCAGTGACCGCAAAAGAAATATGGGCAACAAACGGGTACAAGACGACCAAGAGCAATTCACGTGAGAAGATGGCACGATTAGAGACTGGAATCGCATTATGCAATGGAATCGTGCACAGAGAAGATGAGCAAGTGTTAAAAAAAAACTGGGAAGCGTGCGAAACCGATGAGGTAAGCGACCAAATGAGTGCAAACCAGCCAGGTGAGAAGACGGCAACGAGGCCGACTGGCAATGGCATTGGGCAAACATCAAATCCAGCAAATGTGGGCAAAGTCAAGATCACACATATGGCAATCAACGCGAGTATCCGCAAAAAAGGCAACAGACAGGTACAAAACAACCAAGAGCAATTCACGTGAAAAGAGTGCAATGCAGCAAACTGGCAATGGAATCGTGCACAAGGAAAATAAGCAAGTGTAAAAAAAAAAATGGGGAAGCGTGCGGAACCGGTGAGGCAAGCAGCCTGCAAGACCGGTACAGCGCAAGAAGACTGAAAACGCAGCCAATGCCAGTGACCGCAAAAGAAATATGGGCAACAAACGGGTACAAGACGACCAAGAGCAATTCACGTGAGAAGATGGCACGATTAGAGACTGGAATCGCATTATGCAATGGAATCGTGCACAGAGAAGATGAGCAAGTGTTAAAAAAAAAAAACTGGGAAGCGTGCGAAACCGATGAGGTAGGCAACCAAATGAGTGCAAACCAGCCAGGAGAAATTCGCGTGAGAAGACGGCAACGCGGCCGACTGGCAGTGGCATTGTGCAAACATCAAATCCAGCAAATGTGGGCAAAGTCAAGATTACACATATGTGTATCTAGGGCTGAGGGGGGGGGGGGGGCGCTATTCCACTTCACCCGAGTGTGTCCGTGCGGTGCGTGAGAATGCAGAAAAGGCAACCAATGAAAATGCTCGCAAGAAAGCTGGGCAACAGACAAGTGCAAAAACTTAGTGCAAACCACGTGAGAAGACGGCAAGGCAGTATAAGCTGGCAGTGAGGAGAAACACCCGGAAGGAGCGGAACCGGGCGCAAAAAAGACACTCATCAGACACAAAGGGAAAAAAAGAAACCAAGAAAGGTCTGACTTGTCGTCTATCAATCCAGGGTCGAGTCCGGTTGTAATCGAGCATGAGTCAAGCTGGGGCCGAGGGGGCGCTACTCCCCTTGCTGGCGGAGGTCAGGGCCGCCGCAGGACGCGGGCCCAAGGAACCCAGGCCACCGCCAGCCCCCTGCGGGGCCAATCTTGCAGAAAATCCATCCGACAATCAAATCAGAGCCGAGGTCAAACGCAAGTCAAGCTGGGGCCGAGGGGGCGCTACTCCCCTTACTGGCCGAAGTCACAGCCGCCGCGAGGCCAGAGCCCAATGGTCCCGGCCAAGCAACGGCTCTGACCACGGTCAGCCCCCTGCGGGGAACTATGGTCAGCCTTTACTTATTTCCTTGAGGTCACCAAACCCAAGCCTGCTTGAACGTTCAAAAGAACGAGTTCCGTGGAATGGGGTCTGTCTGCCCCTGCCTAACCTAGAAAAACTCACCAAACAATAAATAAGCAGGTCAAGGGTCAGGTAAAGGTCACGTGGCAGGTCAAAAGTCAAAATCAAACGTTTTAACATTTTTGGCATCTGCAGGCCTCATTGGCACAACATCGTCTCATGGATCTCATGCACAACGCACCCTACGAAGAAAGTGTGCTTGCGGCCCACTACATCGGTCAATGTCAAGGTCAGGTCAGGACACCGGTCATCACAAACCGACCGTTGAATATGGTGGGTATTATGGTTGTGCGACACATTATTTGGAGTCACTGTTCACATAACATGCCAAGAAAAAGTCCCCCATACAAGTGATTAGAACTCGAATTTCATAAAACTTGAGGTCAAGTCTGAGTAAGGCTGCAAGATCAGATCAGAGGAGCCCAAGCTTCAAAATGGGTCATTCAGAGGAACATGGGTTGGTGCCAGTCCATTTTTCCTATCAGGCAACAAATTTAAATGTATAATAGTTTGTCAAAAGAGCGGCGATCCAATCTAATGACGGTGCCCTCCATTCCACGGTGACCTGAATGCGCCTCTGGTCCGCGGTACACGTGCTCGCGAGAAAACACGGCGATGCACAACTCACAAGTGCCATGACTAGGTACCACGTGCGCACACGGATCCATGACTGGGTGGCCACTGTCTGAATAGTGTAAAGGCCTTTCCAAATTTTCACACTCCGCATTAACGTTACGCAGAGTAGGCATAGTCGTAACCGTCGTAACCTCCAAAACCATCATGGCGGAACCCTGCTGCCATTCAACACCGAAGATCATATTTTCTCGCATGCACTGGCTCTGAAGTCTAAGGCACGCAAACCAGTGACAGTGCCAGAATCTGGATGATACAACACATTTGGAGACACAGACAGAAAAAGCGAAGTTAGAGACGAAAGCATTACTGGCATGGGTTTGGGTACTCACCGAACGATTGAGCCCCACACCTCCACGGTTCAAGCGTGATACTGCTCAGTCCCAATATCTGCAATTTACTTCAGACTCTTCTTGATGGAATCTTCAATGTTACAAAACTGGCAGTATCAGTTAGGAACCCATCCCTACTCTATGGGAGCCAGTTCCCTTCTGAATCGAAATGCGCATTCTGCGCGACGCCGCCACTGCGCAATGTCTGGTAGAATCGGAGCCGGAAACAATCAAAGAACTGAAAAAGGTCGTGGAGGACTTCGCCAGAACATAAACGAGGAGCAGATGAGGAAGATGGTCCGGCACACACAGCGCCGGGCAGAGCCGTGCGTAGCGGAGTGAAGGTGTTACTTTGAGCACTTCCTGTAGGAGACACAAGTGGCAAGCGGTGATCGCGATGATGTCATCATAAATGCTAAACCCTCTTGAAAATGCATTGTGTGATTTGATAACGTGAGATGAAAATATATCTTTCTGGTGCCTACCTACTTTATTCCATTCATTAATGAACACCCGGTACGTCACGTTAGCATGGGCCTGATGCACCCAAGACGTAAACACGATGGTTGGAATGCTTGCCTGCCATTACATTTGTGTCCGTCATAGCGTAGGGTGAGTTCGGTACCCCGGCCCTGACTGACGTGCAGTTATCTCCAACTGGCCAGCTCAGCTCGTGTGCTGCCGTCCGGCGCGGGGGCCAGCCGGGTCCAAAGGTGGGGGACAGCGTCTGTCGCGCCGCACCCGGCCGGCCGGACAGCCCGGGCCGCTGGACAGAGGCGCTCGCACACACTGAGCGGTAGGATCCGGCCTCTAATGGAGCGGTGGACTGTGCACGACATAGCAACGCAGAGCGGTGTAAATTCACTCACCAAGACGAACGACATACCTTTTTACGTCGAAGCGTTTGCGCCCAATGAATTTCGTACCCAGTTGCGCCGCACTTCGATCTCTGCAGTCCTCAATGCACCTCATGTATGCCCAGCCGGTTCTGCTAGTTTGAAACCACGCCTCACTCCGTAGCCTATCTTAGTAAAGAGTGAAAGAGTCCTCGTAGCGTCCTCTGACCTATACCCACATATCCAGTCTTTAAAAAGAAAACAAAAACACCCTTCGTAGCTCGCCCCAAGGCTAGCTGCTCGACGTGTACTTACTTCATCCTTCCACACCTCGTGCTGGGCAGAGCGGCACGCTCCCGAGTATTTGTTTATATGCGGTTCGAAAAGTCCGTGGTCGGGTGATGGGTTCCGTTACAGATCCGCCTGTTCACTCTCAGAGCCAGCTCTGATCCCGCAGACATGCTACGTCGAGCTAGACTAGTTATAGGAGCTGCAGCGGAGGTAATGAGAAATGAGTGTAGCTGTCCAAAGCAAAAGTAATAACTGGGGCAAAATTATGGTGATCGCGAGAGGGAGGCATACTAGGAAGTACATAGACGTCAGCAAATTAACATTTATCAGATGATTGGTAAATACACCGCGGCAAGTATAAACAAACGGGACTGCGAGCTCATGCCGTCGAACCGTGCAGCTCCGTGTCTGGTCGGTCGGCAGCCGATTTGGCCGGGACGGAAAACTAATGCGAAACAGTGTGAACTGACCTGTAGTATGGTGAGGTTTCCCAATGTTGCAGGAACTGAGGTGAGGTTGTTGCCACCAAGCTGAAGAACGCGTAACCTGAAAGACAGGTCAAACACAAGGCATTAACAAAGTCGCCGGTGCAGCAAAATCGACACACGCAACATGTGGTGACACTGATGATAGAGAGGTGGACACATTGCAAAAAGTTGAAATTGTAAAGCAAACAGCGAGATCACAATCACACATTCGCATGCATAACATAACTAGTTTGCGTCTTGACAAGAAGTTTACTGATCTCAATTTGAGGGAGAATGAGCCTGTAGCACGACAAAACACAGAACACACGTGAACTTGGTCCGAGCCTTGCTAAAAACAGGTGACAAACCGCCACCGCCCCCCACCCCACATGTGCTGCGCGCAGAGGTCATTGACAGCAGCCAGGTTCAAGGCCACCGGCCTTACACTGTGCGTGCGAGACACAACAAAACACACTATTAAAATGTGGAGCAATAACAAAACGTACTAACGCATTATCACGTTATTACCTTACAACCTTGCCGTTAGTTGCCGTAATTCTCACTCACGGAAGCATAGCGCCCGTTATCACCGTGACAGCGATCGAGATCGTCATGAACAATGAACATCTCACAATCCATGTTCACTGCATGCAGTGCATTCGCTGAGCATCCCGAACTGCAGCTGCCGCCATTGTTCGTACTCGGCGCAGTGTCAGGCGCCACCGCAACCCTGTACACCGTTCGCGCCCACACTCCCCTCTGTATCGTACACTTACCTCTGCAGTCGATGGATGTTCTCAGGGACACACTCGAGCTGGTTAGAGGCCATGTACAGGTCGGACAGGTTGGCCAGCTCCAACACCTGCGGCGGAACCTGAGTGAAACTGAAACAGAAAACAACGTCGAAAACGGTCATAGTCACTCATAAATTATAGTTATCGCCCACCGTATAGCAGACAGCAGACTATGGAGTGTCTAGCTGTAGTATATAACATAAATTTGGGATATAACTGCTGTCTAGCTGTAGTATATAACATAAATTTGGGATATAACTGCTGGCTGCAAAAGTACAATAATGAAATAAACATTGACTGTTCGTTACGGAGTATGGTTTTAACTCCCGGATAAACTGCCCAGCCTGTTCATCGGTATTCACATTCACAAGGACAGCTACGTTGCATCATCCGACACGGCGTTCACAGGGAGGAAAAGCTGCTGGTGACCAGCAACCTTAGTTGACTTTTACACAATGCAAGAATTTACGCCGATGTATATGTGGTGTTACGCAACAAGCTCTGTCTAGCAGGCACGCGCTCATCGTCGGGTTACGGTCACATCCTCCTGTTATGTAACATAAGCCGCGGGCGGGTACAGCCACGACCGAGTTTAGCGACATCGACAACGTTCTTCAGACTACATGTCCTATCAAATGATGGTAATAGTGTCCCAATCACCATAATAAGTCCTGATGATACCCTTCCTCTACTGTTTGAAATGAGATCCTCGATATTTGCCAATTTTTGCACACCCATCAAGAACTCACTTGTTTCCACTGATGTTCAGCTCTCGTAAGTGCCGCAGCAGGCCAAAGTCCTTTGGCAGGGAGGCATTACCCAGATCATTGTGCTTGAGAACCAGGTTTGTGAGTGCTGGCAGGGCCAGGATGGCATCAGACACCTCAGTGAGCTGATTGTGGCTGAGGTTGAGCATCCGTAGTGCGGGGAAGGCGGGCAGCAGGGTGGGAAGCCGGGTCAGTCTGTTGTTTGCTGCGTGCACTGCCTCCAACTCAGCCCTCTGCGATGGTGGCTGCTCGGCAAGACGTTGGTGCAGCTCATGTCCATCCAGGTCCATTCCATTGAGGGTGACGCTGGTCAGCATACTGAGGAGCTCGCTATCGGAGGCCTCCGACGAGTAGACTGACTCTGCAGAGTACACAGACTCGATGTCCATTGTGCAGCTGTCTGTGGATGAAAATGAACAAAAAGTTAGCCGTCATGTTGAGTGTCAAGTCTACTGACAAACACTTAAAACTTATAGGTACCCATCACCAGTCGGGGAAACTGTCACTGTGGTAAAATCTGCCATTTTTAGCAGTCTGCTATTTTTAGCAGAAATCTGCTAAAAATGGGTACGGACCTGCTAAAAATGGGTACGCACGTGACGTCATCGTACCCAAATATAGCAGATTTGGGTACGGACCCATACATAAACAGATTTGCGCACTACTTGAAGCAAATGCGCATCAAATGCCTGGCAGATTCATGATGAGAATAGTGCTGAGAGTGTCCTCTTCTATTTTCTTTCAAATCCGACTATTTTTTAATAAGATATTGCCATTGGAAGATGAATGCACTGAAATTTCCTAGAAATTGGTCATTGTTTTAGGTATTTTATGTTTCTTCTATTAAGAATAGACAGAAAATAATGTTGAAAACAAAATCTAGCAAAAAAAATACATAAGGTTGAGATTCATTACTAGAACAGGCCATCACTATAACAAACACAATTTGGCATGATTGGTTGACACACATGTTATCAAGGTCATACCATTGAAGGGGTAAATAGCTATGTAGGCATATTTTAATAGTTAATTTAGCCGTTTATGTGGTTTTTTAAGATGACCCTGGCCACAGTGTTTCTTATAATGGTAAATTTGGCACATAGCATTGCCTGGTTTTGTTCAAACAGCAGCTTATGCCCTGCTGGGTCTTGGCACGACTTTTCAACCTTAAAGGGACTATCCCACCTTCTAAAATGTTGTTAAAACCAGTTAAATTGTGCCCGACTTTATAGATTGGATGACCAGGAACACGGTTCTGGCATTTATTTTTCATTAAACATCTTAGGCTTCCCATATTCCAAACACAAACTTTCAAATATGTGACGTCACAGCCCAAAATTACCTCCTTCCCCAGGCCACATTACTGTCATAAGGCTGATTCTTTTTACTCTGTAGGCACCACAGCAAAGTTCAGACCAAGTTTTAAGCGATTTTTCAACGAACAAACCCATTTAAATCAGAATGACTAAACGAAGTGACGTCACACTAACGGTCGCTCCATGTTGAAGATAGGGCCTTGTACGAGGCCCATTTTCAAATGAAGGGAACGAATTTCTTCAACACCAAGAGGCCGCGGGGGTTGCAACCTAGATAGATAGTGGTTTCTGAACCTCGCCGCAAACTTGGCTATCTCAACTCAAACCCCATGTTAAAGGTGGGATAGTCCCTTTAATGGTTAGGATGTCATTTAAGTGGTTTAATAATCCATGTTGGTTAAAAATGTTACCTCCATCTTATTCTCCAGACTTTAAAGTGTATGTAATGACCAGCTATTTTGAATCAAGACAATTCTTTTTTGGGAAATGAGTAGAAGTTTGGCACAGCCTAGCAGTCAAACACGTCAGGCTGCAGGCTGGTGGTCAATTATTTACTTTTTTCACAAGTTTTGTTCCTCAAGATGACTATTATTTTCAAAAATCAACATCAAATTGCCAAACCTAAAAAAACATTGGTGTGGGTGTGTGTTTATTTGTTGATCATTATCATTGCATAGTGATTGCGTGACCAGATGAATATTGAATGTTGCATGGTGTGAGTCTACCACAGATCTTACGAGGGCCATATGGGTAATGGGGCTTCACGGTTTAAGAATCTGATGTTATTTCTGTATGTGTCTGCATGCTTTTGCCTGTTTGAAATGCATACTGTCTCTGTCTTGTCTGGACGTGCTAGGACTTAGTAAACTTTGATATGTGGGGTACATGATGACACGTATTGCAGTAATCAGACTGTTTTCAAGAAACCTTCCACACTTATGAATGCTGTAAAAAGCTCTCTCCCTCGCTCTCTGTCTCGGTCTCGGTCTCAGTCTCGGTCTCGGTCTCGGTCTCTGTCTCAGCCTGGTCAACTGTGCCATTGCCTTAAGATGGTGCTGCTAGGCAACAGTGTACTGCCTCCTCTGGTGGATGGAGTGGGCGTGGGGTGCCAAAGCTCAGTTATACATGTACATTTCACCACCAAATGAACAAAAACTCCAAGCACTAGAAAACAACGTAATGATGCGAGTGAAAGAACAACAGGAGCGGGTTGAAAAATCGATCAAGGAACAGGTTAATGTGGTGCAGAAACTGCCAGAATACACAGCAGAACTGAAAACGAGTGCCAAAAATCTGCAGAAGATAGTTGAAAACAAGGCAGAACAGGATGCTCGAGAAAGGAACATACTGCTGCACAACATAGAAGAAAGCCAGTCTGACAATCCAGAGCAAAGAAAACATCATGACACAGAAATATTTCAAAGATTAGTGACTTCACTGACAGGCAAACAGGATGTAGAAATAGTCAACATCTACAGACTAGGGAAAAAACCTGAGAACAATGAAAATGAAGGAATGAATGCACGGAAGCGGCTGATGCTGGTGAAAGTGAAAGACAGAGAAATTGTTAATGAGTTGATCAGGAAGAGAACAAAGTTGAGAGAAGTGGGCTTCCTGAATGTTTACCTGACCAGGGACCTCTCGCCTGAAGATCGTGAAACTCAAAAAAAGTTGAGGATGGAACTGGAGCAAAAAGGAAAAACAACCCACAAAATCTTTCGAGGCAAGGTCGTCCCTCGCTAGCGCGAAGCAGAACCAAGATAGAAGGTTTTTAAAATGTATGTACACAAATGCCAATAGTCTTAAAAACAAGTTGAGTGAGTTGAGACTGCGTATTGATGAAGGCAAACCAGATGTAATAGGGATTACGGAAGTGTGGACAAAAGATGAAATTGTTCTACAAGGCTATCACCCTGCCTACAGATATGACAGAGAAGAAGATCAAAAAGGAGGAGGTGTCATGCTCTTTGTTAAAAGTGACCTGGAGGTGTCAGATTGCCCAGAGCTGAGCAGTCCCAATATATAGTCTGTTTGGTGTTATGTCAAATTGTCATCCAAAGAAAAACTGTTAGTGGGTGTCTGCTACAGGCCACCAGCCAGTTCTGTTGAGTACAATGAAGGATTAAACCATTTATTGAAGCAAACTCCTTCAACACGAACCAAGCATATATTAGTAATGGGTGATTTTAACTACCCGCAGATTGATTGGGATACTGGCTCAGTTGATGGTTCTGAAGGATCAAGTCAAGAAAGATTTTTTGATGCTGTCAATGACTTGTTCTGGTTACAATGTGTCAACTTTCCCACCCGCTTCAAAGAAGGAAATGAACCGTCCTTGCTAGATCTAGTATTTGCAAATGAAGAAAATGCCATTGAAAGCATTGTGGGATCTGACCCACTGGGTAAAAGTGATCACTGTGTTATCACATGGGAATACGTCTACATTAGCAAGGGACCAAACAGAATGAACCAAGACAAACCAACCCGTAGAAACTTTAAGAAAGGTAATTATGCTCAAATGTCTGATGACCTTAGTCAAATAGACTGGTCAACTCATGAAAACATGGGAGTAGAGCAAACTTGGAGCAAGATAAAGGATATTGTCAATATCAGCATTGAACAACATGTACCCTTGTCACATCAAAAGAACACCATACCTCGTAGTCCGTGGTGGACTAAACGGCTTGAAGCGGCTGTAAAGTTAAAGTACAGCTTGTGGAAAGAGTACAGAAGGACTAAAGCTACAGAGGACTACAAGAGATACACAGTGCAGAGAAACAAGACAACTAGTCTTATTAGACTAGCAAGGTGTCAGCACGAAACCAAGATTGCTGAACATGCAAAACAAGACCCAAGTAGTATATCAAGGTACATAAGGTCACAACAGAAATTGAAGCCAAAGGTTGGACCACTTACAACTGAAAACGGTACATTGACACAGAGTGACATGGAAGCAGCCGAAGTGTTAAACAAGTTCTTCCAAAGTGTATTTGTTGAAGAAGACGATTCTGAAGTTCCAGAATTCCCAGCTCGTGTACAGGACGAAAATATCCTGGAGCATATCGAACTAACACTACAAGAAGTGCACAGGGAATTAGAAGCCCTAGATATCAACAAGTCGGCAGGACCAGATGGCATACCCAACAGTGTAATGAAAATGTGTGCAGATCAAATGGCTGGACCACTGAAATGCCTCTTTCAGAAAACCTTGGACTTGGGCAAGCTACCAGTTGATTGGAAGGAAGCAAGGGTAACGCCGCTATTCAAGAAAGGGTCAAAAAAAGCCCCAGGAAATTATAGACCCATCAGTTTAATAAGTCAACCATGTAAAGTTTTGGAGAGAATAGTTAGAAAACGCATTGTTGAACACCTGGATGACCATGACCTGATCTCAAAACACCAGCATGGTTTTACAAAGAGAAGATCATGCCAAACCAACTTGATTGAAGCAATGGAAGAATGGACCAAAACATTGGATGACGGACATGCTTTGGACATAGCATACTTGGATTTTCAGAAAGCGTTTGATACGGTACCGCATAGAAGGCTAAAGAAGAAATTGTATGGCTATGGAATACGGGGAAGACTGTTAGACTGGATTTGTGACTTTCTGCACAACCGCCGACAACATGTGACTATGGGAAATAGTACTTCGAACTCAGTGGATATAAAAAGTGGCGTACCACAGGGTTCTGTTTTGGGTCCAACATTGTTTTTAGTTTATGTCAATGAGTTGCCAACAGAGATCAAAAGTAGCATAAAAATGTTCGCTGACGACGCCAAAGTGTATCGACCAATCCGACATGATGATGACGTAGCTGCACTGCAGGCCGACCTACAATCTCTGTGTGCGTGGTCACTGAAATGGCTACTGAGGTTCAATGTTGCCAAGTGCAAGATAATGCATTGTGGTTTGTCAAACCAACATAACCGGTATTACATGACAGAGAATGGTTTGAATAGAGAACTTAAAGCAACTACCCTGGAGCGTGATCTTGGCGTGATAACCACAAGCTCCCTCAAAGCAACTGAACACTGTTATCAAGCAGCAAATAAAGCTTCTTCAGCATTAAGATTACTGAAAATTGCTTTTGCTAGCCTCAACATGAACAACTTTAAGCCATTGTACACATCCTATGTGCGCCCTCATCTTGACTACTGCCTGAGTGCTGTCGGACCCCATTTAATTCAAGATCTTAAAGCCTTAGAGAAAGTCCAACGGCGTGCTTCGAAACTGGTTCGTGAAATCAAACATCTTCCATACCATCAACGACTGGAAAGGCTGGAACTACCTACCTACCATTGAAGAGAGACTCAGCAGGGGTGATTTGATAGAAGCTTACAAGATCCTAACAGGTAAACTCGCTGTCGATCCAAACCAGTTTTTCGAGAGGAACTTTGATGACAGGACAAGGGGGCACCACCTAAAGCTCGCAAAAAGAAGATGCAGCAGTCAAGCACGGGCCAAATTCTTTGCAAACAGAGTGGTTACTGCCTGGAACAGTTTACCAGAGGAAGTTGTGGCTGCAACATCTACAAACCACTTCAAAAATCTGCTGGACCGACATCGGGCTGCTGCACCCTGACCTGTCATCTTGTCCCAAACCAGTATGATGTGGGTCCTGAATAGACTGTGTCTAAACCTAACCCACTACATAAACCTAAACCTAAACCTAAACCTAACCATTAATCAGTAGATGCATAGATATATCTTCTGCTACTTTTAGCAGATGCAGCTGCTAAAAATAGCAGTTTCTAATAATATTTGGGGCTTCCTGAATCAGCAAAATTTACAGCATTGTTCCTTAAAGTTTTTAGGCAAATGATAGGTTCATTTGAAAATGTGAGAATTGTAGTATAGACATTGCATGCAAAATAGTGTGTTTCTGAGTGAAAGATGAATGTTTGACCAGTTTTCAAACAGTACTTTTTACCGTACCCATTTTTAGCAGATTCGTACCCATTTTTAGCAGAATTCTGCTAAAAATAGCAGACTGCTAAAAATAGCAGACTGCTAAAAATGGCAGATTTTACCATAGTTTCCCCGACTGTCACTTCCTATAGATCAGTTATACAAATGTTCAAAAATTTTCATTCATTCATTATTATGTAAATCAGAAAAAAATCGTCATCAAAGCAAAATGTTTATTCTAAATGTTTGTAGTAATAAGCACGGTGATAAGTAGAAATGTGAAATTTTAACAACCCATCCTGAGCCAACTCACTTAGAGTTTCACTTCAACTTTGATTTCCTTCAGCGATTTGGTACCAATCGGAAAGAGGTGAAATCACGACAGTTTTGCCGCAAACTTCATTAAAATCGTCAAGTCCTATCACTATGACACATTTTGGAGTAGGGTCAATCCCGACACACGACAAAGCAAGAAATGCCCGAGAGGTGTCAGAGAGAAAAATGGACGCTGGGGGCGGGACTCTGTCACGGCGCGACCCCCGCGTTTCGTGTAAACATCAAGGATCATGCATATTAATCGTAAAACACGAGTTTGGATGATAAATGACGTATAGCGCAGTAGGTGAAACTTCTATACTGATAGCACCTGAACTTTAAGTGAAGCAAATATTTCAGGCATATTTTGCATGAAATATGCGTGATACAATAAAAAGGAAGCTAACAGAAGCGTTGAAAATGTAAAAAATGAAAACTTTTATTAATTAATAGAAAGCTCTTCATCTGATTCGTTCGAAATGATGACGTCAAATAAACAGTAAGTTTGTAGTTATCGTTTAGACAAAAACGGCTGCAGCGTTGCATTTTTGGCGCAAACATGTAAACAAACATTTCAACTCATTTCAATTTATTTTTTCAATTTCAACACGAATTGGATTGGAATAGCTTGTCAATAGCCGAATGTTTGGTGTGAGATGCTATGGGATATTCTTTTATTGTCTGTTTTCCTGGTTGGCATTTTCAACATTGTTTTTAATAGGCTCAACAGACATGAACCTGGCAAACACTCAAAGGTAACAGTAACACTGTAACACTGTATTCGGAAAGATAATACATAGCAACCTAAGTATCTGATAAAGTGTCACGGACACATTCTGATTCCAGACTGGAATTGAAATATCAAATGAAATATCAAATCCCTTGGAAGCTGGTAGGGTTCCTATCGCATAGAAGAAGGGTCAGGTTGGTCATGGGCCATAGGAGGTGGAACGAGGAGGGCACAGGGGCACCATGCCCCCTTTGATTTTGGTATTTTAACATTAGCCCTATGGGTGTTGCATGGAAAGAATGGGACCAAAAGTTGGCAGTGCCCCCCTTAATTGAAGGTTTTCCGCCGCTACCGTCATGGGCCATGCACCAGTCCATGCAACTACCGTGCTTGGCATAGGTGACATCAAAAGTTCTTGAATCCATTGGGCATGACAAATGGTTAAAGCACCTAACAGACACTGGCCAACTAACCAACTACCAGTATGGTCTCTGATCCAGATGATCCTGTGCTGAGCAGCTGCTGAGTGCACTTGAGGACTGGACCCAGTAGGTGGAGGAAGACGACCCTGTGGATATTGCCTACCTTGACATCCAGCAAGCATTTGATTTGGTCCCTCAGTCTGGGCCTCTGGCTCATTCAAAGGCTTCATGACATGGACGTCCAGGATGTCCAGATCCAGGGTGACACCCTTTATTTTATCCGTTCTCATGTGTGCTGGTCTCACCGTGTCCATTCACAGTTCAGACTGTATTGTGCCAGTCTCACGCACCGCCCCCGCCCGCAGGGGGAGTGGCGGCGGCCGGCGCGCGGCGGTGAGGTGCGTGTGATCCGTCTGGTGCCCGGCCGATTGGCCGAGTACGAGGTGCGCGGTGCCGAGTTCAGCATATCTCTGTGGCTCAACCTGACGGCGGCCATCGCGGCGCTCCTCTTCTGGCTGGGACTGCACCTGCAGGACGACCGGCTTCTGGCCGCCCTGCTGGCCGCGCTGACGCTGGCTCTGCTGGCCAAGCTGCACTTCAAGGTGAGGTTGGGGAGGTGGGATGGATGTAGAGATGTATGGGCAGGAGGTAGAGGGAATCACAGTGGCACGGGATGGGACTGGTAGGGATGACACATTTAGCAGTGCTCTCTCGTGTAAATCGGTATTTAAGATACGCGACAGTGACCATTGTCTACATTTAGGCCCGAAGTGAAATTTGCGTCGATATGATAAGCAGCACGTCAACATAGTGATGTGTCGTTGGTAGATAAATCGCACATTTTCTACGCTTTGCGTTCGAAAGCACTTCAAGGTGCATTATAACGCATTGCACGTTCTCGGTTCTATATAGTTTTGTTCATTTTTAGGCCTTGATTCGTAGTGGATATCAGCGGTCAGTGATCAACACAAACAATTCAAATGAGTCAAGGCCATATATACATATATAGGAATGAGTAATGTGCTCGTTTTTAATGTGTTTCCATAATGTGCTGGGAATAGATATCTATCCGAGTCTTGACGTTTGCTTCTGCACTTGGCCTTTTAAATCGCCCTTTTTGCCTTGATTACCTATGCCGGGCACACTCGTTTGCTTTTTCATGTAGCTTCGCACCTCATGCTCGTTTACCGAAGTAACTAGTACCTACATGCAACAAACATTTTTTATTCCGACAATTATTTCTAACACTTTTCCGTCGTGGATCCCCTATGCCCCACACCATGCGCCGTCGAACGTCGGGACTGGCACGCTCTCCCCTCGGCGGCAGGTGAAGCGGGAGACTCTACTGGTCGAGTCCTCGCTGGGCGTCCAGCTGACCACCGTGTTCGCCAGCGGCCGGCGCAGCTCGCTGTTCCTGGCGCGCGGCCGGCTCCGAGACCTGGTGATCGCCGAGGCGCTCACCATGCACCAGGTGGTGACGTACCTGGCACTGGTGCGCCGCCACCCGGACGGCCTGGTGCCGCTGTTCAGGCACACGTGGCCGCGCCGCGATCAGCTGGAGCCTGTCTACCGGGACGTGCAGCGCATCCTGAGCCCGGAGACGGCCGGCTGACTGACTGAGCGGCGCGGGAACGGAGCGACTGAGTGGCCCTGGCGGAGTACGAGCGAGACTGACTGAGAGGAAGCGAGGGGCGGTCCGTGTTGGTGTGTGACTAGATTGACTATCGTGAAATGATCGCAACTGTGAATGAACTGTGAATGGTATTGAGTCATTGACTATTGATGCGTAATCAGTATGAACTAGTCAGTTCCGTTACTACCAAGCTGTTGTGGTTTGAAGCTCACAATTTCTCAATCATTTCTAATACTTACAAGCTGAACTGTACCAAGTCATCGTCTGCACACCATGGTGGGTAGATTATCTGGGCGTAGTATTAGTGACGTTCGGCCGGGCCCGACCCGGTCTGCCAGTGTTCCTCGTGCGTTGGCCAGGACAGATACGATCCAAAGCCCCGGAGCGATCGGTTCTCGCACGAGTCTGATGTCCTCGTCTGTATCGGCTGCGGCACTGGCGGAAGACTCGCTCGATCCAGCAGAGGTGCGGAGCTCGACGACTAACCCAGAGTGCTCGCCTCCCGAGGGCGGTGGATATGTGTGTGCGGAGTGGAACGATAGGAGCTGTTCGTTGTCACCGCCGAAGTGTGTGGGAAGGTGGGGTGTGGAGCTGCAGGGGGCGACGGATGGCTCGGCGGTGCCGGCGGACAACTACTTCTCAGAAGAGTCTCCTGCCGAGGGACCTGTATCCGTCGACCGTCCGCTCCCTCCGTCTGCCTTCCCGGCAGAGGGCGGCGCGCTCTCGGCAGAGGGCGGCGCGCTCTCGGCAGAGGGTGGGGCACTCTCGGCAGAGGGTGGCGCGCTCTCGGCAGAGGCGGCCGAGTGTCCCTCGGTCGGGGCTGGCATGGCGGGGGTCTCGGCCCAGTGGACGCAGCACTCCCCGCTGACCGACAGCGTGCAGGTCACCGAGCGGACGCTGGACCTGCCTGGCCTACCGGCTTCCCGTGCGCGCCACGTGGACACCAACGGACGCTACCTGGTGGCCAAGGCGGCCACGGCCGCCACGCTACTCGTCTGGAGACTGGAGGAGGAAAACGGAGCGGTCACAGCGCACGTGAGTCGACAAAGGATGGGCTCGTGTCGTGTGTGTTTACAACAAAGCAAAGAATTGCTTAGTTTGCGGCTCGTGGAGTTCCCAACAGTAACATTTGTTTTGTTGCCTTTTTTAACGTCAATTGATTTTTTGGCTTTCAATACCTACTAAGTACGTGTCTACATTGTCTGGCAGTGATGGAACGCTTACGATTTTGGTGATATGATAATTTGTCCCGTGACATGTGATTGTCCTCAGCTGCTTGGCTGATTTAACGCGTCTGGTTTTTTTCGGTAGGCTCAGCGGAGCATCCCGCTGGTCCATCCCCGTGTGGAATGCCTGTCACTACAGGACGACTGCGGACACCTGCTGGTCACCTGCTCACGCACCATTCTACTCTGGGACCTGGCCGGTGGGTGCCGCTGTGTCCTAGTGTTCGTTTTTTAGAGCACCTACCCCAGTCACTAGGAGGGCACACCATTTACCTGGCCAACTTACGATACAGCAGTGTGTGTTTCATTCCCTGGCTCCTCTCGCTGACGGCCCAGTCCGTGACATTTCTGTGACACTGACTCTGATACCTCTGCTAGAGTACTACTTGCTTCTATATATTCTATCATTTTAGGAATCTTTTTGATGTAGTAAACCATTTCAGAACAAAGGGATAAAATATGGCCGAGAAGTGAGCTCAGTCGACTAGCTACTGATGCACCGCTCTGGTCGAGCCCATCCCGTCGGATCTAGAGAATCCCCGTAGAGCAGGCGGCCCCGGTACGCCCCCGGTACTCCAGCGGTCACCACGGAGGGGTGGGCCGGGACCGGGATCGGCGGGGCGCAAATTCCCAATAGTGCTACACGCTACGCACAGCCCGGGCGGGTGACGTCAGGGTGTCGTCACTCGCGTACGGGGCATGCGCATGGGGGCCCGCTCGGCTCTGGAGGCGCCGGCGGCAGGCGGCTCAGATCTGCACGGCCGATGGGAGGGGGTTCCGAGACAGGGTTGTGCTCGACTCAAAAAAATTTGCCGACTCGACTCATCATTCAACTTCAGAAAGCCCTGACTCAACTCTGACTCAAACAAGGAGCTGATTTTTTCCCTTGACTCGACTCATGACTCAAGCGGCTCAATGAAAATATGAGCTGACTCAAACTTGACTCAAATTTTTTTGTTGAGTCAAGTGTGTTGACTCAAAATTGACTCAGATAAAAAAGTTGTTGAGCGGGGGGGGGTGGGTGAACAAAAAAAATCCGGCAGCAGGGCCAGGCCTAAGTTGTTAAGCGGGGGAGAATGAAACGCTTATATATATATATATATATATATATATATATATATATATATATATATATATATATATATATATATATATATATATATATATATATATATATATATATATATATATATATATATATATATTCTTTTAGACAAAGACCATTAAACGTAATAGCACACTTTCACATTTCGAAAGCTTTGTTTGTGTTTTTATGATCTTATTGACTATTTTCTTGCTGTTTTCGTCAATACGATGTATCAGATCGGCAAAGTTCATGTAAAAATATTCGTTAAAGTTCGACGCGTTTCGAATGTATTATACATTCATTTTCAAGTACACTGTGAGACACTCGTTCAAATAATGCGTGCATGGACACGTTTGAAAAACAATATACAGGTCACGAGTAAAATCATAAATAACACTTTCAGTTTCAGCGCGCTATACTACAACAGTAAATATGATCACGTCACACATAGCGCTAGTCGGGTTGGGTTGCTTGTGTTGGTGTTGTTCTGCGTGTTTGTGGGTGTGATGTGTGCTGCATTGTACCCCAGAGAGCCAGTTTTTCTAGGCGTGCGTTTTTCTGTTCATTGATGCTTGGTGTGTGGTCTCTGATGTGTATGGCCTCTGTGATCTCTACGCGTCTGGGGTCACGGTTGGAGTGGATGATCGACGTGTTTTCTACCAGGTGTTCTCTTGTCAGTCTAATGTTGTGTTTCTCCAGCATGTGTGTCTTGATTGCTCCCTCCTGTTTGTGCATGGTCAGACGACGAGACAAAGTGGTGCATGTGTATCCAACGTAGCTGATGTTCTGAAGCCTGCAATCTTCAGAGGGACAGTCAAATTGGTACACTACGTTGGTACGCATGAGCCGCTTAGTCTCAATCGGGTTGTTTTTCATGACCAGATGTTTCGTCTTTGTGCTCTGATAGTAAATGTGGAGCATGAGTTTGTCAGACTTGTCCTTGCATTCTACGTTTTTCGTAATGATGTGTTTAAGTATCCGCTCGTCTTTCTCATATTCTGTGTTCATGAAGTTGCGGTAATATAGGTGGTGTGATGTGCCCTGCAACTCCTGCACGTTTGTGTCGTTGTATTTTGTGTCAAGTTGTCGTTGGATTTCTGAGTCTATGTCTCCATTGCTGTAACCATTGTTAACTAGGAGCTGTTTGAGGCGCATAAACTCTTCGTGCATGCTCTTGTTGGTGGAGCAAGTACGGATTGCCCTTTTGACAAATGCTCGGATCACACTGGTCTTGTACCTACTCGGGCATTCGCTGTTAGCGTTAAGTGTTTAGCCTGTGTTGGTGCGGTTTGCGGTAAAAGAAGATTTATTGCCGAAGTTTACAAATATATATATATATATATATATATATATATATATATATATATATATATATATATATATATATTGTTTCTAAAAAGATGAGTCAGCCGACTCATGTTCCTAAATGTTTTTGACTCAACTCAATGTCAAAAATTATTTTACTGACTCAACTCTGACTCAACTCAACAGCTTAACATTTTACCTGACTCGACTCAAACCTGACTCATTTGAGTCAGAGTTGAGTCAAATTTCTGACTCGACTCATGAGTCAAGCACAACCCTGTTCCGAGATGTGCACGGCCGATGGGAGGGCTCGAAGACCACTGCTCTGATGCTTTAGTCAACTACACTGCGAACGATTTATCGGGTTTATCCGACGCAAGGGAAGTTGCGGCGAAAGAACCTGAGGTTGTTGCGTCATGCAGCATTATGGTAATCGAAATGTACTCTGCTCGTGCGGTGCGAGTTGGAGTGTTGGCTCGGTGGTAGGGCGAGCTGTGCACGGCTGGTGGCAGGTTTTGAGGACCAACATTCCACCAAGGCTCAAGTAAGCGTATCCGTCGTGAATGATTTACGCACCAGATGTTTGACAAAGCAAATGACCTCAAACAAGTGACACCGAAAAGCGAGATGCTATACGTTATTGCAACGTAGGTGAACGAGATGCACTCGCATCAATTACTAGTTTGACGGCAGCTGTAGCTGATCCGTTTATACCAAGGCTATAGAACGTTTATACATAGTGTTCGGCGGTGTCCCTGGGTTTAGGTAAGTTGAGGTAGAAGAACAGCAAATTTCCAGCCAGTTTCTCAACTCTTCTCGGGTTTTGACGTTACATCTCAAAGCCAAATCTTTGCAGTTCACGTGGATGTTCAAAATGCCTGAAGATTCATTTTTTCCGAAAAAAAGATCATTTTCCATCGAACACCACAGGTGCAGAAACAACACTACCCACAAATCCAACACGAATTACAGTCTAACAGGTCTAACACCATCACGGTCAAATTCAACACCCAGCGCACCGACTCGCTCTATCGTCTGAAGGAAGATAGGCCCCTCTTGCACGAAGACACAAGTCAAAATCGTTTTCAAGTGATTCTAAATGGTCCGCACTCCGCACTCCGCAGACCATCAATATCGAATATGAATCTCAATCTAAATACGTTACCAAGATTATAGACATATTCGTCCAAGGAGACTGCGAATTCGGAATGAGTCTCCGTGCAAGAGGGGCCTATCTTCATACAGACGATGGATTGAGTCAGCGCAGCGCACCCAACAAACGCCAGCAATAGCCCCCTTGAATTCGCCCCTTAGGTCCGCGCTTGCAAGGCCCTATATACCAGGTAGGGTCGTCCGGCGATTCTACCTTTTCGTGACGTCAGGTCGTGACGTCATTTGGAGTCAAGTCTCGAAGCCCCGTTCAATCCCCATGTAAATGAGCGATTTTCGAAGCACTGTAGAATGAAGTCTGCACAAGATATACCAAACTTAAGTATCTTATCTAAAAGAGCAGACAATTTTCTGCAAGTTATCTATTACGTGTTTTTCGCTAAATCTTTTGCTTTTTTCACAAAAGCGTAAAATGTCCCCCCATGTCTCCGCAGCATCCCTGCCGCCGGCCGCCGCGCGGTCGCGGTAGTGTAGTGGTTAGCGTGCCCGCGCAGTATTCCAAAGGTCCCGAGTTCGAATCTTTGCGGTGCGGAACTTTAATTGCAATTCCAAGCTGAATATACGCACATCCATAATAAATTATTATTCGTATAGCTAAACTGTCACCAAGCTATCCATATAAATTGACTTCACCCAAAATATCGGCAAGATTCTATTAAAATATAAATTCAAATATGGCGGCTTGGACTGCCGCGTGCGTTAGGCTCCGCCCATAGCTCCGCCCACATGTGTGACGTCATTCGTGTTAGTGGACACGCAGAGAGATAGGGGACGACATGGGCCTGCGCGCTTGGATAATTAACAAGGTAATTATCCATGGTCCGCGCAAGGCTATAGAACTCCAGGCAAGGACACCAGCCGTTTGACCTTGAACGCCGCCGGCCGGCCGATGACGTCATTGGAGGCAAGCCGGCTCGGTGGACACACAAGGCGAATGCATAACGGAGGGGCGTTGGAACGTTGCGGGAGCCGGGGAGATATTTTAAGGTGGTTGCATACCACCATTTTTATGTTGATTGATCTACAGACTGCATTCTTTTAAACCTCGATGCATCCTAGGCCTGGATGGTGCGGTGCGTACATTCGTCATCGTGGAACGATCGCCCCGTCCGACGTCCGTGGTCGAAGCTGTCATAGTATTAAAGACACTAAGACGGGTGCAATGACGGCGATCCGATCCCGTCTCTGGCGAATCTAGAAGGGTCGTAAGGACCCAGGCCGAATCTGACCGTCTATTTTTAGGGAAACGGGGTGGGTGATGAGAAGGGATCCCGTCGTCGATTGTTGTTTGACAGACAACACATGTTGTACTGGGCGTATGACCATCAGAGGTAATGCCTGAACGTAGGCAAGCATAATTGTTCTGTCATACTGTTTAGGAATATAAAATGGTAATAGAGATCATTGAGGATATGATCTCTACATTACGGGAATTCACTAATTACTACGGCCCATAGGGGCACCGCCGGAGCTGTTGTTTTGCCATCGGTCCCAGGCAACTCCAGGGAGCTGCAGTACCCGGCGGCCAAAGCGGCCACCTCGTCGACTCGCAGGTCCTGTGGGATTCCGTGATGCTTTAGTGCTTCACCCACAGAAGCACGGGCATAGCAGTAGAATGTGGGGCTAGGTGTCTGTCCACCTCTTCATTGAAAGAACATCTGTATACAGCGCCTGGTCCCGCCGAAGCTCGGTATCGATCGTGACTTATTCACAACTGGCGGATCCAGGAAGCGGTCTTGGACACTGCGGGGGCTTACCCCAAAAAGGTTTCTCGGAATTAATTTAAAAAACTCGGATTTCGATTCCTTGCGCACTGCTGTGCACTGTGCAGTGTGATTAACCAACATTTCCTCAGAAAAGTTGTGAAGTTTTCTTTTATTCTCGAAAAGCGATTTCGGGCGCTGCCAATGTGGGGGAAGACATTTGCCCCAAATGCCTTCCCCTGGATCCGCCAGTGGGTTGCCCCACTCCGAGCTTGACTAAAAACGTCTTCAAACCCCACCAGAAACCGATGGTAAGGTGAATTTAAATCCATACAACACATGGTACGGCACCCGGCCCTGTCTGAGCTATGAGCCGATCGTGATATTTTCGGCTTTCCCCATCCCAAGCTCGATTAGAAACGTTCTCCTTCCCCACCCGATTGCTGATATCAATTCAAATTCAATACCTCATCTCTGTCTGCCCGACCATAACCCATTCATTGCACACCGTTCAGCGCCTGGCCCCGCCAGAAGTATCCTAGCGCGCTGAGCAGTTGCCTCCAGCCGCGTCATCCCGAGGCCCCGCGCGGCCCATAAATTAATACATTGCGCGAATAGCCGTGTCGCCCCGCGTGTGGTTCGTGCATAGACTCGTATATTGTCCTCGTAAGTTTCCTTAACCTGTATCTGGACTAGCGAATAGACCCCACCTCGTCTAACAATTGCTTGGCTGATAGATGTGACGTCACATAGCCCGCACGCCAATGAGCGTGGCGTCAGGCTATGACGTCATCTCCCGCGACAACCAGCCACTCAGCGCTGGAGGTGCGTAGCGTGTAGCATTATTGGGAATTTGCCGGCGGGGCGGGTAGACCAGGGTATATAGAACAACGGTAGACCGTCAGTCCGGCACGTGTGTGTGGAGGTGTGATCAAATATGATGGTGACTTGGTCCCGACGCTAAGGATAAAGAAAACGATAATTTGAAGTCACACTTAAAGGAAATAGTTCACTTTTTAACATGGGTTTTGAACTGGAATAGCAGTTCCGTAGCTTGGGCTGAGACGAGCATAAATCAGGAGCTTTTACAGCCCAACGATCACCCTAGGCAAAGATATTCTATTTCTCGTCCCTAAAAAGGTGTCTTGCGTTGAGGATGTGTGCCTTGCATATATTTCCATCCAGTATGAAAAGAGCATGGGTCCCGAAAATTCTTCAGAAACTAGAGAAATTATCTACGAGAACTCTAGAGAAATTCTCGTACTGATCAATTAGGACATTCAGGGGAACATTATCAGATCGAGCAGATCGCCCAAATGCCGGTGGCTGCGATAATTTCTCTGTTTCTGAAGAATTTTCGGGACCCATGCTCTTTTCATACTGGATCGCGTGTGCCTTACAGAAACTGAAAAGTTCTTCCTATATCAAAATATAGAAAAAAAAAATTGTTATAAAAAGGTTTTATTTTCTTTGCTGATTATTTTGAACATAAAAAATCATAAATCGTTGCAAAAAAAATAATTTCGTGAAAGTGAACTATTTCCTTTAAAGGGACCCTCCCACCTTCAAAAAAGTCAATGAATTGGCATGAAAGTGATGTCGCTCGGTTCAAAAAGAGCAAAATCAAATATCTACCAAATTTCATCGAAAAATATTCACCGGTTTTCAAGATATTAGACTTTTACTTTTGTTTACTTTTTGGGATCTCCGCTGTTCCTAGCGACTTCATTTGAAAGTGCGGCATTTGTTGCGCGCAAAGCAGCATATACCACCGCGTGCTACAAAACGTTTTAGTCAAACATTTAAAAATCGTTAGATATCTGCGCTGACGTCACACATTCAGAGGGGTATTCCTATGCATTAGCCCCTCTGAATCAAAATGCTGCAATTTTGAAATTCAATATTTCCGATTTAAGGCATTTCTCGGTGTTGTGAGTGCCGAAACCGGTAATTGTGAGCCAGGGACCCCATTTTGGCTATCTCAACTCAAATCTAATGTTAAGGTGGGAGGGTCCCTTTAAGGTGTTCGTGTAAGGGGATATCAACTGACACAAAACGGGGTCGTTTCTACATTGCAGAGCCGGGCAGGCCCGCAGTGACTCTGGGCGAGGATTTCTCGGGTGTATCGTGCTGCCACCTGTCGGCCGGCGGAGAGGCTGCAGTTGCCGGCGGCGCCGCGGTGCTGGCGCTGGGTGTCGCCCACTCTGTGTGGCTGCTCGACACGGCGCGCGTGCGACGCCTGGCGACCTTGCGCGGCCACCGCTGTGACGTCAGCAGCGTCACTGTCGACGGCGGCTTGTGTACGGCCGGCAGCGAGGCCGGTCATCTCCAGGTGGGTCCACTGAGCCGCCCCGTGGTCCACTGATCCGCCCCGAGATCCACTGAGCCGGCTGAGGTCCACTGAGCCGCCCCGTGGTCCACTGAGCCGCCCCAGCTCCACTGAGCCGCCCCGTGGTCCACTGAGCCGCCCCGAGGTCCACTGAGCCGCCCCGAGGTCCACTGAGCCGCCCCGTGGTCCACTGAGCCGCCCCGTGCACAGTGATGCAAATGGGGTTCACGAGTGGCCATAAATACCCAAAAGTCAAGTTTACCAAATCGAGTTAAATGCGATATGGCCGAGTAGACAAATGTTTGGGGCATCTGAAATCACATGGTTTTCATGTTTTTGTCAAAACCGGCCACGTGTATAATCGTCAGAAGTCGTGACATTTTCTAGGTCGTAAAATGACGGTCAGACACTCGCAAGTTCAAACGCCGCTGGTTTGCGTTCATTTCGTACAAATTGAAAAAATTATGCATGAGAATGATCCCCAAAGCCTTCTGCTTCTAATGCCTGGTCACAAAAAGCCGTAGCTCACTCGCTTTGGCGGTAATCTGACTATTTATCATCATGTTGCAATCGCAGTTTTTTACTAAGAAAAAAATGCTTTCGTTTCACCTACAGCACTTAACACAGTGTGTGCCCGTTAGTTCACCATACCATAGCCTTCCCTAATCATTTCTGAGTCGCATCGTGAAAGAATTAAGGCGCTAGCACAGGGCTGACCGGCGCTACAGAAGTTTTTGTCCGGGCTGTCGGGTGCCTCAGCGGGCGCGCAGTGGTCGGGTGGGTGCTGCCGCGCGGCGTCCGGGCGGCGCGGCGGCGCGGCCGCCCGGGCCGCCCGCTGCGCCGCGGCACCCGACCGTGCCGGACGAAAACTTCTGTAGCGCCGGTCAGCCCTGTGCTAGCGCCTTAATTCTTTCACGATGCGACTCAGAAATGATTAGGGAATGCTATGAGATGGTGCACTAACGGGCACACACTGTGTGAAGTGCTGTAGGTGAATTGAAAGCAAATATTTTTGGTAAAAAACTGCGGTTGCAACATGATTACAAATAGTTAGCTCACCGCCAAACCAAAATAGATACGGCTTTTTGTGACGTGGCATTAAAAGCAGCAGCTTTCGGGGATCATTTTCATGTATAATTTTAGCAGTTTGTATGACATGAACGCACGCTAGCGGCACTTGAATTTCAAGTACCTGACAGTCATTTTACGACATCGAAAATGTCTCGACTTCTGACAATCCTACACGAGGCCGGTTTTGACAAAAACATTAAAATCATACTTTTTCAGACACCCCAAACATTTGTCTGACTGACCATATTACGATTTATTCGATTAAGTTAACTTGAATTTTGGGCCTTTTTCGTATTTATGGCCACTCGTGAACCCCATTTGCATCACTGTGCCGTGGTCCGGTGAGCCGGCCGAGACCGTGCCGCTGCAGACACTGGCCTCCGGGGACGAGCGGGCCACGTCCGAGACGGCCTTCCTAGTTCCTGACTGAGGCGGGGTCCTTCAGCGGTCCCGACTTAACGCCATATCATACTGGCGCTACTGACAGCAGCCACAATGAAGGATTCCCACAGTGGACGATTAAAAAGTAAGCTGACTGCAGGGTGTCTCACTCTGCCCTCTAGTGTAGTGTCTCACTGCCTCATCGACATCATTCAGCCACAACTGCGTCGATGGGCTGGACAGGCAGGAAAGCGGGTGACCATAAATTGACAGCTTTACCGGTGTCATGCTTGATGGCGGGCTTCATGGGTCTTTGACGCACATCAGTTTCGCATGACGTCATCTAGCCTGAGCTAACCGAATTTTCCTGCGACATTACTGCAGGCCGGCAGCTGGGCTGGAGTCCGGTCAGGGATTTTACGACCTACTGCCGGCGGGGCTCGCTGAACATCTTAGTGCATCCCTTACATGCCACTGAAATCTGTCATTTGTTTGTTTTGTTGGGTTAGGCTATTTCGGTCTGACAAGGCCATTTCAGAGAATCGTATGTTGGGCACTAGTGCTGTCGTCTGGTGGCAAAACCCAAGCACTACTTGTTCATAACCTGCCACCAGAGGTAGGCTGATCCAAGCCAACATTATTTCACTAATAGATCCTATTGTTGCGGATATCATTGAACGCGGTTGCCGAACCAATTCAATTATATTGCTGGTTTTAGCGGTGTTGTCACGCCAACAGATTTTATTTCTCTTCGACATAATCCTTTTGGCCGAAGCACATCATAACTTTTCACTAGACAGTGGAATGTCGATATTTTCACTTCATCCAAAAACTTCAGAGACGTTCCGAGGACCAATTTTTATGGACTTGTCGTTTTTCTTGACGGACTCCTTGTTGTATCGTCAACCTGGCGGATCGGCCGGCACTTGTAGTTAAGTCCACTACCACCAGAGCGAGTCGTGTGGCGGGTTGCCCGGCAGTGCCTGAATGCTACAGAACCCCCGGCAGTGCAGCTGTTAGCCACTCTTATACGGGCTTGGTTGGCCGCCGGCCCGCGCGGAGGATGGGTGTGCGTTAGGACAGTTGCCGGATGGCGTTCCAGCACAGTTAACGTATTCGCAATGTCTCGCGGAATGAATAACTCACGGGGCATTCCACGTCAAATCGAACAAAAATCGGCTGTTTTGCACCTTACCATCAGCGATTTCATTATAACTTTGTGAGCGAGTTCCTGTGTCCCCCCAAACATTACATTGATGTTTTTTGCACATTCTGACCACAGGTCTTCTAAATATAGGGCATCGAATATTTGCAAAATGTTGCATCTTTATATTTTTGAATGTCCATAACTTTGGTTGCACTTGTTTGATTTGAATGAAATAAACCTTACTGTTTAGGTAATTTCTTTAGCATTTGTTTAGAATTGCACCTACTTAAATATATGACCTTGAAATTTGCTTAACTCTGTTCTTAACCCGCGAGTTGCTGGGGGGGGGCGTTAAACGCCCCCACTTTTTTCGCCGGGCCATAGCATAAAAACGGCGCGCCGCAGGCGCGCCAAATTTTGGGTACCTGTAGGGAATTGATTGAAGTTTATTGTGACAAAGTTTCAAAAAAATCGGTCGGAAAATTTTTGAGATATCGAGGTTTTAGTGACGTCATGATTTCTGAGTTTTCGACCAAAAACGGCATATGTTCAAAAAATCATATAAAATCACAGAATAGACATACAGACATGCCGTAAACGCCATTAGACTGCCAATACCATGATCAATCAAATGGCTATCTTCGATTATTGATTATCGTTCCGCATTTTCCATAATCTTGAACTGAATCTTGGCAATTTTTCGTGACTACTTCACGACCATGATACATGCATTTCTTAAATTCAACTTTTTGAGGCAAACACGTACACATATGATAAAATGAATGTCACCATCGTGTTCTGCGCCCCAAATTACCTATAAAACATGTGTCACAGGTTGCAAATATCAGCTTTGATTTTCGGGGATATGTGCCTACCCGGTTGACCTGACCTTGACCCTGACCTATGCTTGACTGACCCCTACATGGAGCTGACACTCTTGTAGGCCTTATATGATGGATTGTGCACCGTTTTGACAGAGTTTATGACGAGAGGCGCCCATTGCGAAGCCCTGAAGTCCATGCTACTGAAAGCCCGATTTCAGGTGTTTGACCTGACCTTGACCCGACCTGTGACCTCAAAATTCAACTTTAAAGTACTCATCTGAAGCGTCTCGTCGCGCTCTTTCGTTTGCCGCCTCGTGCGTTTCGCTGCGCCTATTGGTTCTCGAGTTATCGGCTGGGGGCGTTTAACGCCCCCCCCCCAGCAAATGGTGGGTGGCGAAATACCCCAGCAACTGCCGGGTTAAGCACAAAAATTGAAATAGCAAAAAACACGTCACCTTCGATTTGGCTAATTTTCATATATTTTATTGCCTACCATATTCTTAACAACCTGTGAAAAAATTAGAGTGGGCCATTCATAAGTTTTGAAGAAAATGGCACATATGCAAACGTATGTTAGCACGCGCAGTGGAGGGGGAAGAGTGAATTTCGCCCCACCCCTCCTGTTTTTCGCCAATATCTCATAGTATTAATGCAAAATTAATTATAGCTACCTGTCCAAAATTGAATTGCACATCTCATCCTGCAAGCAAGAAGAAAATCGGTTCCCAACTGGTCTAGTAATAGCGGTGTAAAGTGAACATCCTGTCGTCGCGGCGACGCGGCGACTCGGCAGCCGGCGCCGACCGCTAGCCGCCGCCTGAATTGTAGACTGTGCCGGGACGGAACGGAACAGTTCCGTCTTTACATCGCGCTCCTTACCGCTGATTACGTTCGATTCGCGTCACATTTTGTGAGAAGACTAAGAAATGTACAGGCAATCTTATGGTGTAAAAATTTTGAAAATCGGTTGGTAAACAATTGAAATATGAACGTGTAAACACAAAATTGTGATTGCTGCGTTTCCCACGTCGGCCGATCCCGCCTCAGCCGGCGACATGTTACTCTTAGCAGGTCTCTAACTGCCATATTTATTATTGGATTAACTAGAAATTCCCCATACATATTCAAAAATGTATATTCTTTCGTATAGTGAAGATAACAGGACGTGAAGATATCGTTGCGTGATAATGTTTTCGTTGAATTTTTGGCTTCATGATGCATTTCCACACGGCTCAAAATTCACCGCAAAATACCGTTTGCCTGAGACACTTTTACTATGAAACTTGAATGCTTGACTACGATGACTATGTATTTCCATTCTCGCAGAGTTTGGGATATCACTTATCAGCAATCATTCATTTAAGAAAGTGTACACAAGCAAGTATGTCTTGACTCTGTCTTTCAAGGTCACGCGCGGTTGCGTGATGTTGATGCATGAAAACGGCGTTTGCCGCGAGAGTTATGAATGGCCCACTCCAATTTTTTCACAGATGGTTAGGAACATTGTGACGGACATAATATGTAAAAATTACCCGAATCGAAGGTGACGTGTTTTTTGCTATTTAAATTTTTCTGTTTTA